ATCATTTTTTAAACCTATCTTTATATAACATTCTTTTTTTCTTATTTTTAATCTATCTTTATTTTCTTTTCTTCTTATTTTTACTCTTAGAAAATATTTACATCATTATATGAAAAAAATTAGATCAGATCGCGTATACAAAGTGTATACAATATATACATATATTGTAGAACTCGCCTAATCGTTAATCTTAATAATTTGACCTATATCTTTAAGTAGAAAAAAGAATGTCTCGTTCAAATATATTTAACTGGACGTTATCAACGTATCAATCGATTAAATATTTTTTTTGTTCGCAAATGGAAAGAGAAACAATTTTGTTGTAAAGTTGATTATACCTTTCTTTCATAGAATAAACTTAACCTTGAATGTATATCGCTTTTTCTTTTTTATTAGAGTACATTATCAGACGTATGAAAAGTTTTATCATGAGGATCAAACGAATGACAGGCGCAAGAAACTTCCTATTTTCAGTTCGATATCGAACGAGAAAAAGTTTTCTTTTTTGTCTCATTACACGTACATAACATACGTTCTTTCAACGCGCGTGCATGCATGTGTGAGTGTGTGTGCGCGCGCGCATCAACGATGAACTTTGTGACTGTTTAGAAAATATTGATTTTTTATATACACAGCAGTATTTGCTGATCGACGTAACGAGGCTCTAACGTTTAAGTACACAAAATGAACCAACGTAATGAGATCATGTAAATACCTCCATCGTTCGTTTAATTTAGAAACGACTAACTTCTGTATTCGTCTGATCCTAAAAAAAAAAAAAAAAAGAAACGGCTTGTTAATCATACTATTTGTTCTCAAAAATTAATTAATTAATTATTATAATCGAAGTATTAATCGAGTTCAAATATTAAGTTCAAATTCAAATTAATAGTTTATCTAATTTTTTCTTTTTCTTTGTAGAAATAAATCAAGATTTTATAAATATCATGAATTATTAGAAATTTGTTATAATCATTTTGTAAAAATTATATATGTTATAAATATTATTAGATATTAATTAATCTCCAGAAAATCTATTCTTTCAATTTTAATATTGTAATTAAATAAATAATAGAAGATGGATGTAAAAAAATCTTTTGAAAAATTCTATATACGTAAGTACGTCGTTCGAAGATCATATCTAAAACCACAAATTTATGTATGAAATTTAAAAAGAAGAGTGAATATACGCACGTATGTACGTAATAAAATTGTCCATCTTTTATGTAACAATACTCGTACATACCCATATACCATACACGCATGGCATGATCCATTCAATATATAATTGCTTTATATCTGGTTGAAATAGATGACGTCAGTCGCATCATAGAATTTCAATGCGTTAAATAAACAAAACGTTAACAGAGAAATGATCGCATTATAGCGGAATTATCCCGAGCTATCGCTTGGAAACCGCTTATCCGCATTTAACTTAACGCAAACGTGTACATAGATGATGATATACGTGCATGCATATATGTATAATGCATACATGTTGAGTCAAACCGAAACGCATTATCGATTAATTATTATTCGTACGTACGTTTTTGAAAATAACAACGCAACCCGAACGACTGGGACGTTTGAAAATATTCGAATTTATTTGATAATAAAAATTTTCGTTCGAAAAAATAAAAGAATAAAAAATAAATAAATAAAAGAAAATGGAAAATATCAAAGTTAATTTTTTTTAAAATGATATAACTTTTTCCTCATCGAATAATCGCAACTGCTGTTGCAGCTTTAATAAGCCCTGACGACACAACTACGTTGTTCTCGCTTAACTCGTGTTAGTTTCTCGCGCCACGTCGAACCAGGCTCAAATACGATTAGGAGAGTCGCTAGGAAACTCGACACGTTGCACTCCCGCTTTGCAACACCGACGGCCTTATATTCGGTTACACATACGTTCGGTGTGTCGACTACACCATACTTACTCGTCAGCTCGAATTCGGAAAATATTTTTACGATACAACACTACCAAACGATAATCCTTTGTTGTCCCTCGACCTTTTATTTTCTTTTAGTGAATTACATTTGACAATATTTTCAAAAGATAATAGATATTTTTTAAAGAATAATTATATATTTTCAATTAATTATATTAATATTTTGTAGAATAGATTAGTTTCGATATTAGTTTACAGATTATTTTAAATGTTTGTAATACTAATCATACTAAGAAGAATAATTGTTGTTGTTATGCATATAATTTTTTGTTTCCATCCTTCATTGTTATTTAACAATATTTTCAAAAAATAATAAATAATATTTTTGAAAGTGTAATTGATATTTTCTACTAATTTTTCTAATATTTTGTACATAGAGAATCTAAATCTAAATTAAATATTATATTTTGTTTTAGTCTAAATAATAAAATAATGACTGTTGTCACTTTACTCTTCTTTCTTATTTTATAATATTTTCAAAAAAATAATCGATAATATTTTTTAAAGAATAATTCTATATTTTCAACTAATTATATTAATATTTTGTAAAAAATATTAATCTAAATAATTTTCAATATTAGCCGGATAATTATTATTGTCCATATACCCTTTATTTCCTTGCCCTTCATTGTTTATTATTATTTCACAATATTTCCAATAAATAATCAATAATATTTTTTAACAGATAATTTATATTTTCAACTAATTATTCCAATATTTTTTAGCGAATATTCTTCTAAATATTTTCAATATAAGCCATTCAACGAAGGATAATTATTGCCCTTTCATCCTATATTTTTTGCCCTCTCCCATTTATTGTTATTTAACGACATGCTCAATAAATTATCAATAATATTTTTTCAAAAATAATTGATATTTTCAATTAATTATTCTAATATTTTCTGGAGAAAGAATATTAGTCTAAATTAAATAATACAATTATTGTAGACTAAATAATAAGATAATTGTTGTTGTTACATAACCTTTTAGTCTTAATTAACAATATTTTCAAAAAATAATTGATTATATTTTTTAAAAGAATAATTTATATTAACAATTAATTATCATAATATTTTATAGCAAATATATTTGTATTAAGTTTTGATTAACATTTCTATAAATATTTTAATCTAAATTTAGATTAATATTTCCATAATTATTTTTAATTAAGAATATTTTCAAGAAATCTCTTTCTCAAAACGATTAGTAATAATTGTTCAATTTACCATAAAATAATAGAAATATTTAAATTGTTCCGAGTAACCATCTTGTAAAATGTAGAACTAAGAGATTAATACTAATAAAGTATCTTCGCACGTGTGAAACGTAGTTACGTACGTTACTGCTGACAGGGTAACGTCTGCAATAATAATATCGTGGTTTTGCTCGAGTCACCATTCTTGGCGTTACATATCCTCAGTGGACATCCGGACATCCGCACGTCACGTAGAGAAATACGCGCGTTACTAGTTGCCACGTACGATAACGTTAGATATATATATATACACACCTAATCTGTCTATCTAACCGTCATAGCATATCTATAACCGTTCTAACGAATCGAATTTCCCGACTAGTTTCTCTCGTCACTCTTAACCAACGCGAAATCGATTCCCGAAGAAAACTTTCGATCGGCCATCAACCACCGACTTAATACTTTTTCTCGTTTCCATTGAAACCCAACGAAATACGGAATTTTCACGCGTCGATCGTTTTATCTCAGCTCGCTAAACGATTATCGATACGCGTCATAAAATGTAAAATATGGAATTTTGCACGTTCGAAAGCTGGTTTCCGTGGGCATTGATAAGCCGATAATCGATCCATCGAGTTCTCGTGTGATTAATATGCGAATCATCGAAGCGAGAACGGAGAGACACCCGTGAAATTTATGTTCTCATTCTCGACATTGTAGCTTCTCGAAACGTATCTATTTCAAGATTTATTCATATTTCAAGAATCTCGATTCTTCCGACTTTTTTATTGACCATTATATTATTCATTAGTAACGTTTTAAGAGCCAAATATTTTCTTTTCTTCTTTCTTTTTTTTTTTGTTTTATATCACTTTCTCAATGCTCTAAATATCTAACACACACACACACATATATGTATATATATGTATATATATATATATGTATATATATGTATATATATATATATATATGTATATATATGTATATATATATATATATATATATATATATATATTTCCGAATTATTTCATAAAAATTTGAAACATTAAAGAAATTTTTCTTTAAAATTTGTGCTATATTTCAATACCTTAATTTTTCGAACTACTTCTTTCGTGTAACTGAAACTACACTCATATAGTTTAAGATAACATAGGGATTTTTGATTTAAGGTATCCCGTGCAAGCGGAAATTGGTTGCCCTGGAGCGGTAATGTTTTATGAGCATAGGTTGACAGTGTAGTGCACTGGAGCTCACAGAAACAATATTTCATCACGATACTTTTTTTCTCCCTTCATTTTTTTTTAATATTTTAAAAATATGTATCTACTTCAAGAGATATACAATTTTTTATATTAAAAAAAAGAAAAAAAAATAGAAATAGAAATATTATATAGTATTTAATCTTTAATTTTCAAAAAGAAAAAAAAAAGAAAAAATTAAGAACATCAAATAATTTCAATTTCAATTTCAATTTCAATATGAAATAGAAACAAAAAACGTGACGCGAAAGAAAATACACTTACATATTCGACGTATCCAAAGCGGTAATCGCTGTCTATTTATCTATCACTCTCGCTTCACTCGAGCGACAGTAAAACGTTAGATACATCGTTTCCGGTATTCCTAGTGCACGTACATAGCGAACGAGCTCGCTTGCTCGCTCGTGATAATTTTAAATACCAACATAGATTATAACGCGCCTACGCGTTATACGTGAGTCAGGTCTTGTCTTTATCTGATAAAAGTTCGAATGTTACACGAGCCATCGATGCTATTATTAAAAGATCTTTCTTTTTCTTTTTCTCAATTTGTTTTTTGTTTTGTTCTTTTTTTTATATCTCGTTAAAACTCACCCCACCGATACGTTGCTTAAGTCGTTCAAGTCGTTCGAGTCGTTAGCGGACTTCTGAAACAAAAATCGAAAGAGATCTTTCAGATATGAGGGACGGAAACAGAGAAAGTGCAAGAAGGAAAGTAAACTAAAGAAAGGAAAAGAAAGAAAAAGAAGAGGAAGGGAAGGGAAAGGAAAGGAATGGCTAGCGGTAGCTTAGGGACCCTTACGAATCGTTAATCTTCCATGAAGGAAACATTCGTACCGACTGACGGTACTTCGAAACTTGAAACCACCCCTCATAAGTCCAAGCACCAGTCTCTTTCTTTCTCTTTCCTTCTTTATGTGGGAATACATACAAAGCATGAGAGAGAAAGAGAGAGAGAGAGAGAGAAAGTTTTTTCTTTCATAAAAAAAAGTACAAAAGGTACGAATTCAAAGATTCCTTTATTTCATTTCATAACGCAATTCCAATAACGTCTAACTATAATTACATTTATTTTTCCACCCCACCCATAATTTTTCCACAAGTACATATAGCTAATACATAATATAAATTACGGAATTTAAATAAAAATAATTATCGAATATAAGTAAACATTATTAAAGCAATTTCTTCTTTTTTTATATTTTATTTTCTTTTTTTTTCATAAGTACAAATACCATTCTTTTCCTTTCTCTAATTTTATAAAACATACAAAGGTGACGATTTATACATGATTATTATTCGTTAATTAACGTAAAAACGAATGGATGGTAACGCGCGAGAAAATTAATTCGGCTATTTAATTGATCAAAGAGATGTCGAACCTTTCTCTTCTTTCTTTCTTTCTTTTATTTCCTTATCCTAAAAACACCGTCGAAAGGGAACGGAAAGGAAGTGAAAAAAAAAAATAAAAGAAAAAGAATAAAAAAAAAGGAAAAGGAAAATAAAGAAGAAAAAAGAAAGAGAAAGAGAGAGATTTACCGCACGTATTTCCGTAATGGGATACACAAGTTAGAGAAAAAGACAGAGAGAGAGAGAGAAAGAGAGAGAGAGAGAGAGAGAGAGAGAGAGAGAGAAGAGAGAGAGAGAGAGAGAGAGAGAGAGAGAGAGAGAGAGAACTCGATCGATCGTCCACCCCGTCTCATTGCAGACGCAGCTGCCTTGGGCCGGAAGATAAACGAGGCAAACACGACCGGAAGATCCTTCATCGTTGGTTGGTCCTTTTCCTCCAGTCTAGTTCGTCCGTTCTACGTTAAGCTACGAGAATCAAGCCAAACGCCATATATCCGAGCAGACCATGCAAGCACCAAAGAATAACGAAGATAACAAAGAAGAAAAGAAATAAAAAACTGGTGCTTTTACCACGATGATGGCAATTATAGGGACAAGATTTGCATGAAAGTGAAAAAACTTTTTGTTTCCAGCCGGAACCATTGCATCCACAACCACCATCACTATCGGCATATCACCAACCCTCTCCTTCGTTTTTCTTTCTCTCTCTATTCACTCTTCCCCGTCATTCACCTTTTCGAGCCCCACGATCGGGGCTTTCGCATATTTGAATATGAAACGGCCCTAGATTCTTTTTTTTTCTTCTCTTGCAGCGCGTGTAGACCGAGCTGAGCTATCGGCCGACGAATTAACCCTTCTATATCGGGTAGAGACCATGTGCTGCGACACAATTCCCCAATCAACCGCTTCTGCCCTTTCTCCTCTACCACAATTTTTTTACTTCATTTTTTATTTTTTATTTTTTATTTTTTTTTTTTTTATTTTTTTTACAGAACAAAAGAAAATGTAATAAAAAAAGGATCAGTTCATTACAGTTGTACAAATTATATCGAATAATTTTCACAACTAAAAGATACAATCAAAATGTACGAAACGGTTTATTAAAAATTTTCTTCAATCTTTCTGGTTATATAATAATTTTCTTTTTGTCAAGCAAATCGAGTTCAATACTTATTTATTTATTTATTTATTTTTTTTTTTATCATATCGATGTAGAAGATGATCGTGATTTTCATAACAGTTGATCTAAGATAAATATTCAAAATCGTTAAATATAAGTAACAGTATGAAAATGTATGTTTTTTTTTATTAATAACTTACTCAAAAGGTACATTTTAAACCTCAAATGGTTTAGTACTGTAGAACGTTTAGGATTAGTTTATATTATCAAATGAAAGCGCATTGAATTTAACGACATCCTGAAGGACTAAATGGCGAGTCGGCAGAATCAAATTTGTTACGTCATTATGACTTAAAAGCCTAACTGCTTAGACAAATGGTGAATTTTTATTCCTTTTTATTAATGACATCGTAATTTGTTATTATAATTCTGTATCAACTGTCCTGTTTATATAATCATAATTTTGTTTCAATTATTCTATTTTAATTAGATTAATCAAGGTTCTTTTAAGGGACTCATGAGTTTTCCTGTATGTAATAATTTATTCTATTAATACTTCAAAAAGAAACTATACTTTCTTGTCAATTCGTGCTTTTATGTTATTAATTTACTCCTGACAAAAAAGCTGCTTGATGGCCACTTTCCTCTATGTAATCGAGTAAAGTGGTTAATTGAATTCGATAAAATATAAAAAATAAAAAGAACATATTAAGATAATTATAAAATCACATGTTGTATCTATTCCGCAATAAATTTATTACATCTTATTGAGCGTCCAACAATTTATCTTTAATACTCTGTCTCAGAACGAACATCAAAGCTTAGAGTGATCATTTTGCCGAAACTTCGACTATTTATCTCCCATTCGTAAATTTTGGTAGATAAAAAAAAAAGATATAAGAAAATTTATTATCATACTTTTGTAAGCTGTCAGAGCGAGACGACAAGTAAAGAAAAAGAAAAACAAATATGTCGCTTATCAATAATCAGATCAGTGACAAGAGTTTCTTTTACGAGCAGATATGTTGTATCGTGTCGTAATGATTGAGCTAACATAAATTTGGATTATTTTCTTCATTGGATTAATAAACTTTTGTTTGAAATTAGTAGGAATATTTTTTTTTCTTCTTATCTACATATCGACCTATCAGTGTCAAATATATCATTAATTTTCTTCAAACATTTTTATCTCTACAATTTGTTTTTATTATTATTATTATTAAACTATACTCCTATTAAAATGTATACGTTTAATTATATTTACAAAGTTTTATTTATAAAGTTATCATAAAAGAAATTTTCAAATAATAATTATTTTCAATAAAGTTCATAAAATTCAGTATTGTGATTTCGGGGACATTCAATGTATTAGAAAAAGAAAAAAGAAAAAAAAATCGATAGAAAATAATCGCACACCCATTACGTTTATTCGTTGTATAGTGAAGTCACGTGTAGAATCGTAGATAGAGCACGTGCTCGAGTGCAGTGTACAAAGTAATGATTGTATTTTACAAAATTAAAACGCATTATCGTGGTCGAGTTTCGTGTACTACACAATCCATCCACCCAAACATATAAAGATTCGTATATTTAAATATATACACACATACATACATATTTACATACATGCATGCATTACACACATATATAAATACATACATAAATACAAACATACATACATGGATATATATATATATATATATATATATATATATATATATACATACATATAACCCACGTTGAAGCGTACATGCATACATGTGTATATACATATATAGTAATCGTACGGAGGAACTTCTGCGGTGTTCTGGCAAGCACCCAAGCGTTTTCCATCGCGGTAATATCGCGGCTAACGTTACGTTTCGTCGGCGTTCGAGCGTATGTTTATTTCAAAGCAACGTACGCACACTTACACGTTCGAACGCTATTTCTTTTTCTTTTTTTCTTTACTCTGTGAAAGAGAGAGAGAGAGAGAGAGAGAGGGGAGGGGGGAGTAATACGACGAAAGGGAAAGATTTCTTTTTTGTTATTACGAGAATGTTTTCCAGATAAATGAAGAAAATAAACGAACAGTAAAAAGATCAAAGGTGAAAAGAACTTTTAAAGAAAATGGAAATTTAATATTCTAATTTTTTCTCTAATATCCCTCGGTGTTAACTTTTTCATTTAACTGATAAAACTTTTCACTCTTAACTATTATTATAATATATATGTAATAAATAAAAAGCTTGTTTTAAACGAACGAAACGTATTAACGTAAAATCGTTATATTTAATTTTAATATTAATAATTAGGATAATTACGGATTTCCTGTGGAAGACGAGATAGATCACTTGGTGTCATATTTTATAATCCGATATACATGTCCATAGATATGATTCAATTTTCAGATAATTTGAATGATAGGACTGACAATTATTAACGAAACTCATAAGCAATACTATTTGTTTGCTTTCAATTAAGAAATTAAGTAAGTTATTCGCAATATAGAAATTATGTAAATACTCTTCAAAATTTTCTGCTTTTTCTTTAAATCATAATTCATTTTACGATTTACGAAATAATAATGAAATTTTCTGAATACAGTGCATTAATATAGTATTCAAAGGTTATGTTCATAATCATGCAATGAGATATTGTTGTAATATTATTGAAAAAAAAACAAGTGAATCATCACTCCCGGATTTTCGGAATAAATAGTTTGATTTTTTCAAGGCTAGTTTTGATACATCGTAAAATTATCCATTATTACTTTCTTACGATGTAAACGGCTACTTACTTTTTTTATTCTTTATGTTAATAATTTTTAATGACACTGGTCAATTATCCGTTTTTTTAGATCAAGAATAACGACCAGAACAACGTGTGCCTCATTCGACTGAAGAGGATACAAAGAAAAATAAAGAATCAGAACCTATCTCACCTGTTTGTTCGCAAGCTATTAATAAATATTCCTAGTGACAGATACATTATTCGCAATGTTAAATAAAATTAATACAATTCGAAGCGGGTCCTTACGTATAATTCAACGAATTAAAAAACGTTGAATTTTTATTATATATATAATAAAATATATAAAGAATAAATATGCTAAAAATATAATATAAATCATAAATAATAAATATAATAAAAATATAATATAAATAATAAATAATAAACTTTATATATATTTTATTA